ATTTTCCAAGCTCAATAACTTCTTCTCCTTTCACATTTTGGACTTTAGCCCTCAAGGACAAAGTTAAAAAACTTTGTATCCTCTTTCCAAAAATGTAAAGTTTTCATTTTTTCAATAATAAATATAGAAGTTATGATCATCTAAAGTTTAGTACTAGGAACACAAATTTTTAAAAATTCAAATAACTTCTTTGACAAGTTATCTCTAATTCAACACTTCCTCTTGATTTTATGTCACCATTGAACCTGAAATGTGAAAATAGGGACATTGAATTGATGGTTGACCAAAAGTCCACTTGATCAACAATTGACTTTGGTTGACTTTTTGACAAAATGACCATTTTATCCCTTTTGATCAATTGAACCTTTTCAAATCAAAATTGATGATCAAACTTCCAATCATATATGCTCATGAACATGTAGAGAAGCATGGAATCAAGTCTTGCCCAAAAATTCAGAGATTTCCTGATTAAACTCAAAACCCTAATTTTGACCCTCTATGCTAGGAGATGGTGAGATGGATGCAATTGTGCCATTACCTGCAATATAAACATTCAAAGAGGCATATATTCATATTTTGATGTTAGTTAAAAGAACCTATGTACAAGATACACAATTCAAGGTGCTTGGTGATCCCTCAAGAACAAACTTAATGATGGGATAAAGTAAAAAGAGAGAACCAACCATAATGTGTGATCTTGCTGTATTGATGATATGAGATGATGAGAAATCTTAGGGGCAAAAATTGGAGTATAACAACATAGATTCAGAAATATACCAAGGAGATTTGCAGAGTTTGACAAGTACAAGATACTGAAGGAACTCTGAAGTATGGAGTGTTATTTCCTTCTGGAAGAAAGATCGAATCTGAAATTTTGAGTTATTCAGACTCTGATTGGTGTGGAGATAGAGTTAATAGAAGAAGTACTTCTGGGAACTTATTTAAATTTCTTCATTTGATGGATGAAATTGGTGTTGTCAGTTTTGTGTAAATATAAATTAAGGGATGGTGTTGGAATAATTTATATTTTAGGAATGTCTTGTTAACTAAGTCTGTTAGAGGGTATTTTAGTATTTTATTATACCCTAATATTGTGTATAAATAGCCTAGTATTAGGTAGGTCAATGTATTCACCACTCTTTATTTTGTAGTCGTTATTTAGTATATTCCTTTTGTCTTTCATCTCTCCTTTGTACACCAAAACGTAATAGCAGTGATTTGATATAGGAAAGGAAAAAGAAACGTGAATGAAAGAGAGAAGAAAAAAGAAAAGTAAATAATCCTAAAAATTTTAGTTGTAAATAAATATGATAGTCTGGTTTCATCAGTCATAACTAATAAAAAAGAAGAAAAAAATCCATTTTTTTACTTTACCTGCAAGTTGCTCGCATCCAACCCATTTTTTTAAGATACGGGGCAAAGCAAGCCTACTCGATGCGCGAGTTCAAAATTTGGGCCTGAGCCACAAAAAATACCAGAAAAAATAAATATATCTAACGGACCAGACTTATTTAATCACCCATAATTATCACATAATTCATTGGAGATAGAATAGTATTTTAGCAAAATTGACTCCTTACTCATAATGAAAGTTTTTCATTGTCATCATGGAGAATTAAAACTCAAGAAATAACCTTTTGGATATAATTTTTCTTTGAAATTAATACTCATTCTCTAAAAACAAATAAGAGAATTGTTATTCCTATAAATAAATATAAAAGTGAGACAAACACCCCCCTAAAATAAATAATGCATTTTTAGTAAAATGGATATACCGTATTGTATAAAACTGATTACATGTGAACGATGTTTATCTATATCAATTATAATATAACAACTCTAAACTCACGATAATATTATTGTGACTAAACACTTAGATATATTTATCCAATTTATTTTTCACATGTATTATTATACTCACTGATCGGGACTTTATGAGTCTATTGGGATACTAACTGCAAGTATACAGTTTAGTCGTTCTAGTTTTAAATGATTATCGAACCCACAGAGACTGAGGATCAATCGCATACGATCTAATGCTACAATTGTTTAACTAAGCGATGAATATTTGGTTTTAGGGGGAAATAGTTTAATTAAAAATAATAGTAATAGCTATACCGGTATGTGATAGTCGGACTTCGGAAATTCGGTGAATCGCTTGGCATATAAAGTATTTCGGTAAAAACGAATTGTTTAAAAACCTGAGACATACACTCTCGTGTTCATGAAATAAGTCATGCTACTAAACCTAGTGGATGCACTTTAAATTTAATAACACTTTTTGAAAACAATTTGAGTTTAATTAATTTGTTAAAACACTCTCATGTATTTAAAAATTAATGTTTCGTTACCACTATCTGGGTCGAACCCCAACTCTCGCATGCAGGTTCTTGCCTTAATTAATTTCTCACTCTCGTGGCAAAATCATGTTAATTATCCTCTCACTCTCGTGACAAGGGTAGTTAAATTAAACATGGAAATTGGAAACCATAAATTATTTATAAATGTTTTTGGCCAAGTTATCACCGAATTCTTTCGATACTTAGGAGTCACATACCGGTACAAATTAATTTAGTCGGACATAATATATTTAGTAACTATGCAACTTAAAATATAATTCATAAAAATAAATGGCATATCACAAGAATAAATAAAAATCAATTGCATAAAAAACCTGTAAATAATGTTGTTGTGGTAATCTTGGTGCTTACAAATTCCTTGCAATTTAATTGAAATCTATAACCGTGTCAATTCTTGGATGAAGAATTAACACTCTAGTAACTAATTCTGGAAACTAAAAATTGCAGTAGGTAATAAAAAGGTTCAAAAGCAAGAAAATAGAATAATGCAGAAAAATAGAAATTTGGCTCTGTAGAAAAATTCTTCCACCCTTATCCATTGAACTGCTCCATATTTATAGAGGAAGATTTTGCAGTTGAGAAAATATTGGAACAGCTTGAGTGGAGGAAGACCCGGATTCATGGTTACTGAAGTTGAGGAAATATAAGAGAAGAAACTGCCCACAATGTTGCCCACGTCTCTCTGTATTCCATAGACGGTCGTAATGCGCTTAAATAGCGCATTACGCTCGTCAATGATGTGTGACGAGCGTCCTTCTAGTTGTGGGAGCGTTACGGTCGTCATAGGGTGTGACGGTCGTCATAGCTACAAAATCTGCAGACTTTGCAGATTTGGTTCTTTTTCTTCTGATTCTTGGTTAGCTTCCTTCATGTGATCCTTTTTCATTGATTTGAGTTGACAAATGTTGTACCTGTGAAAAGACACAAAAACTCGGAACAATCGGGAGTTAAACGACTCAATGTATTATAAAAATCGATAAAAAGTGTAGTAATTATATGATACGATTTCTCGTTATCACACACTCAATTCATATTTCATTTAAAACTTACTTTCTATTAATATTAATTTGATATCATATCACTACTTATATCCGCGATATGATAATCAACATTCTCTTCATAATCAACATTCTCTTCATAATCAATATTCTCTTATTTTATTTTTATACCGAAATTTTATTCATCTTTTTAATAAAATTTTTTATTAACATTCCTTTATTTTAATTTATATTGTCAATATTTTCTTCTATAAAAACAAGCAATATATGAAAATAAAATTGAATATATAATAAGTAATTGGTGCATTGATCTAACCAAATAGTTTAGACATAGCTGTCAATTTGCTTCACTAAAAAAACTGTAATACTTTTTTTTAATAAAAATTACACCAAACTTTTATATTTATTTTTTATACATATAGATTTTAATTCTACAATTTATTTTCTAAAAAGTTTTTTTATTATAAATTGCATACTTAATAATATGATTAAAACATTAGTCGATATATTCATGTTCTCTCAAAGACAATCAGATAACTTAATGGACATGATCATTTAATTTATTATGCATAACACTTTTAAAATAAAATAAAAAACTCAATTAATCTAAAATAAATTGTCATATTTTTTTATTAAATAATAAATATTCACAAAATAAATGCTGAATAATTTCTTCTAAGTTATATCCCCTAGCACAGAAATTTATATCAAATATAGAGATATTATATTTGTTAAGAATGTCTTTTCTAAGAATTTTGTTACTCATCAACTTTTATTCTAGCATTAACTTTTTTAACTTGACCAATTTATTTCACGTTGCAAATGGTGTCAAACTTTTAAAGAGTTCTTCAACAAAATTTAATATTTTACTTTATATACAAATATAGATTAATTCTAAATTCTTTCTAGAAAATTATTTATTATAATTCTATATTCAATATTATTATTAAAACATAAGTTTAGAAAATTAAATATTGTTAACAATTAATAATTATATTAAAGAAAATAATAAAAATAATATTAAAATAAAATCAGTGTACAGAGCATTCATTCATAACTTATTCACGCGTCATGGAATATATAGTATATATTTTACATAAAGAGGTAACAAGTTTGTGTGCTAATTTTCTTTATCAATTTTTTTATGAAGACATTTTTAATACTTTACTTAATTATTATTTTATGATTTTTAAATATTCAGTCAAATCAAATTATTGAATCTAATTATAATTTTAAATTAAAATTATAAAAAAAAACAATTTTTTTAAAATTTTATGTAATCTTAATTTGATTTTGAATTCAAATCAAACAAAATCCCGATTTATTTCTTAATTTGTTTTTAATAGAATCTTATCCAATAATAACACGCTCTAGTAACAAATTTTTTAAATTCAAAACCAGAGAAACTAGTAAAAGATAATTGGGCCCACAGTTTTATCACTCATAAATAAAGCCACTCTCTACTTTTTTTCCTCTCACATCACAATCTTCCATTCACGCCGTTTTTTCATTCCACTCCACTCTCAATTTTCACTCTCAAAACTCTTCCAAATTCGTCCATTGCAAATTCCAAACCCTAGATCCTGAAATTCCCCATATTAAACCCTAATTCTCATCATCATCATCATCATCACGTTTATCAATGGAGAATCATTCCAATTCGCATCCCAATTCGCGTGATTCCTCACCTACCTCACGCGAATTGCTCGATAACGATCACCGTTCATCGTTCGATGAACCACCACCTTCCATCACTAAGCGAGTCAAACTGATCTGTAGCTTCGGTGGAAAAATCCAGCCGAGACTTCACGACGGTCACTTTTCGTACATCGGAGGTGACACCAAAATCCTCGCCGTCGATCGTAATATCAAGTTACCAAACCTCATTGGTAAGCTCACTGCTATGGCGTATTCTCATGTCTGTTTCAAGTATCAACTCCCTGGTGAAGATCTCGATGCTTTGATCTCGGTTTGCAATGAAGATGATCTCGATTATATGATGATTGAGTATGATCGTCTGTGTCGCGCTTCACCTAAGCCTGCGAGGTTGAGGCTCTTCCTTTTCCCTTCCCCCGTCAAGAACCACAGCAGCAATGCGTCTTTTGATTCTATCAATTCTGCTATGAATCTTGCCGAGGATTCCAAATCGGAAGGTAAGTGGTTCGTTGAAGCTCTCAATTCCGTTCACATTCCGGCATCGGATGATTCTTCTCCACCTCCTCCGCCGTCTACGGTGAATCCAGATTATCTGTTCGGTTTAGATAAGCCGTATTCTCCAACTTCTGAGGAGAAACAGGCGGAAATCCCGGAGTCTGTTCCGGATTTCGCGGCGAAGGATACGGGATGTGAGCCGGAGACGGTTAGAGAAACCGAGATTCATGAAATTCAGAGAATGCAACCTGTGAGTTTTGACGGAGAGAACGGCAGAGTTAACGGCTGTGTTGACAGGTACTGTCAGGGGAACACGGAAACTGAGATGCCGTTAGTTACATCTGTACCTGTTGAAGCTGTGAGTGATGAACAACAAATGAATTCTGACAGAGAAAACGGCGGAGTTAACGCCTCTGTTGACTGTTACTCTCAGGAAAACACGGAAACGGAGACGCCGTTAGTTACTGGTGCATCTGTTCAAGCTGTGAATGATGAACAGAAAGTGAACTCTGACGGAGAAAACGGCAGAGTTAACGGTAATTGTAATGCGGACTGTTACACTCAGGAAAACTCGGAAACAGAGATGCCGTTAGTTACAACTGTACTACCTGTTCAAGCTCCTGCTCCGGCACCGATATTTTCCGGTTCGGTTCAGTTTCATGCTCCTGGACCAGTTTCGGCTCAGTCATCATTTTCTCCTATGATGCCGAATGTGGTTAGTGCTTACACGGCTGGTTATCCAAATGAACCGATACCGGTTTATCTGATTAGAACACCTTCAGGATTGTACCAAGCAGTGAGGCCATTCATCGGAGCTACCGGTGAACCGGTTTATTTTGCATATACGCAAATTAGGAACGACTTTGGTTACAATGGATCAGGGCTACCTGGCATGGTTTCTGAGCGCGGCTATTCAAATGGTTCGTACAGGCAAGGTTTTCCATCACAGGCGGCGGTTGCCGGTGTTGACAGCTGGAATTGACGGAGCAGACGGAGGGAGAATGCTGATTCTGGATGAAATATACTCCTGCATACTGCATATAGAGTCATTCATTGTTATTAAATAAATAAATAAATAAAAGCATTAGTGTGTGTTTTTTTCATTTTTTCAGTGGATTTTATTTTTGGTTTTTTTAATTGTTTGGAATATTGATTCTTGTTCATAGGTGCATATTAGGATTTTAAATTTCTTTTTGGATTCTGATTCATTAGTATATTTTCATTAAACAAAAAAGAGTTTATTGCTTTATTTTTTATGATGGGTTGTCTCCTTTATTTTATTGGCATTATTTTATTTTATATTATATTATACTTTTCCCTGTTTTGGACTGCAACTTTGTTAAGATGTTATTTTCCGGGTCTAGAGCTTGTCAGCGCCTTTTTTGCGTAATTTTGGTTTCAGGTTGTTACGTAGTACTGTTGCTATTAGCCATTAACAATTTGAGTTTAGTTCTTAGAATATTCTTTACATTTAAAATAAATTAAATTAAATTAACAAATGTATGAAATTTGTACCTTTTTTTTTAAGGAAACTAAAATCTACAGTTTATTTTCTTCTAAAGGGTAGGGTTTAAATATGGCTTTTCTGTTGTACTTTAAAAGAAATAACCCTTTTGTATACACATGAAGACGACGTTGGTTGTTGCCAGCTTGAGCAATGGTATTATAACTTTTGTTTCTTTCCTTCAAAAATTTAATTCCAAACACACAATTAGAAACCAATTTGCTATCTAACTGTTGGTAATATGTTAGATAAATTACTATAAATTAGATCAATTGTTTAAATAAAGTAACAGAAAAGTTATATGGACTGCACCAAACCATGCATTAATAGTAATACATAAATACGGTTTTTAGTTTGTAATTAGTAATCACTTTACTTTTTGAATTAAAAAAAAAAATTTGAAAATGTTTGGTTTAGTTGTTAGAAGACGTAAACATGATTTTTATTTAGAGCTATAAGCTTGATTTCGAATTATTTAAATTATTTGATTCTTTTAAAGTAAAGTTAGAATCAAACACGAATTTAGTGTGTGTTTTATATTTTTTTTTTTTGCTAATAGTAATGCGTGGCTAATATATGACAATGTTGAAATAACATGTGTCACTGTGTAATTTAAAAACTGTGCTATGGTATTATCCAAATCACACAAATATTTTATTTTATCTTTAAAAAATTAGATTTATTTTTATTTTTAATAACTTTTTTTTGAAAATCATTTTAAAAACATTAAAAGTTTTTAACTCAATTTTTTATAAATAAAAATATTACACGCACGCGCGCGCGCGCGCACAGAGACACACACATATATATATATATATATATATATATATATATATATATATATATATATATATATATATATATATATATATATATATATATATATATATATATATATATATATATATATATATATATATATATATATATATATATATATATATATATATATATATATATATATATATATATATATATATATATCAAAATTAATTTTTATGAAATAAAAATTAAATAATAAAAGTTTTCTTAATTCATTTTTATAAGTTAAAAGATTAATTTTAACATTTAAATATTATTAAAGATAGAAATAGTCAAAAACATAAATTTTCAAAAAATTATATTTTAAAACTATTTTTTTTTAAAAATAACTTCATATTTAAATAATTTTTTTTATAATTTTAATATGTAAATAAATTATATAATAAAATATATAAAATAGTATTTTATAAAAAATATTTAAATTAATTTTTTATTTAATTTTTTTTAAGTTATCATTTTTAACTAAATATATACACACACAAAAAATCATTTTTAAAAAGGTGAAAAAAACGAGAACGCATATCACTTGTATTGAAAAATTGAATACACCAAGGTGATATTTTGAAAAAGCATTCATCCTACCATTTACTTTTTAGTTTTTTTTTTTTTTTTGTTATATGTAAATAAACTTAATGAATTTCATTTATAATAATACAATAGAAAATTTTTAAATTAATAATATCAGAACAGAAGAAATTTATAATTTAGAGAATTATTAATTTATTGATAAATTAATAATTATTAATTTAAAGAATTTTTAAATAATTATATTGTACATATCAAATAAAAAAACAAATTAAAAACAATACAAAAATACAAAAATAAATTTGAAGTATTGGATGCAATACATAAGAGTTTTGTACGATACAATACAAAAATACAACACTTGAGCTATTGAATGCAATAAGAAAAATAAGAAATGAGCTCTAAATAGACTTGAACTTTAAAGGAAAACAGATAATTATTGAATCATATTTCAGTAGAGTGTAATATTTTTTTCTTCTTCTGTTTCTATGAATTATTAATTTATGATTTTCTTGGGACTGAAAATTATAAAGGGATCTCCAGAAAAATTATTATCTTATTATTTTATTGGGTTTTTCAATTTTTTATATTGGCCAAAGTCGGGACTAGACAAATTTATCATTTTAGAGAATTTATTAATTTATCAAGTATTAATTTAAATAATTTCTACTGTAATTTCAATACAAGGTGGACAATTTTCAAAAACATGATGACTAGCATAAGACCGAGTTACGTGAGCTAACTCATGGGTCATTTGGTTCGCTTCTCATCGAATAAAACTGACATTATAGTTATGAAACAAACTTAATAATGTTTACACTTTTCAATCAAACTATCATATTCAGTTAGATTTACTATATTCCCTGTTAGATTTTGCACTACTTGCAAGCAATCCATCCCCATATTTATTCTAGAAGTAATTTGCATTTGTTGAAGCCATTTGAGAGCAACTAAGAGGCCTTGTGCTTCTGCTTCATGTACTGCTGATTGGCCAACAAAGTGAGCTGACATTGTCTTGACAAATCTTCCATGATCATCTCGAATACATGCTCATATGTTGTACATGTTTTCAGCTTCATAACATGATGCATCAAGATTACATTTCATGTTTCCTTGTTGCGATTTGATCCAACTTGGTTGCATATTAGTGTGTGAGTGCGTTTTGGTTGATATGGCACGTCTTTCTTTGTACTTGGGACCAATCATCTAACGCATTTATGGCTCTTTTATTCACCTCGAAAATTGATGGCAACACGTCATTCTAACATTTTTTATTACGTCTCCACCAAATCGACAATAACAACATGACAGTTCGATTCATTTTATCAGTGTCCAGGCTCTGCAGTAATGTAAAGAACAACTCCACATAGCCTTGAGCTTGAGTAACATACTGCTCCATTATTTTCCATATTCATGCCTCTCTCCATGCTTCTTACACTGCTTCACACTCAATAAAACAGTCCACTCATTCTCAAAAACTGAAGCACAACATGGACAGATTTGTTCGTAATGGACTCCTTTTTGAACCAATCTCTCTCGTATCGGCAAGCATCCATGAAGATTTCTCCAAATAAACATTTTCACTTTATTAGGTACTTTAAGCTTCCATATCTCCATCCATTCTCCTTCAACCTTGACATGTTTATTATCTATAATCACTTCCATTTACTGGTAGTATACTGAGCGGACCATGTAAGTGTCATTCTTACTGAATCTTCAAATTGGTTCATCTTCATCACGTGTACAATTGATGAGACTTTTGAGAATTGTTTTGCATCTCTCTCATTAAATACTTGATGGATCAAATCCTCATTCCACTTTCTTTCATTTTGCTACATCAGATCCGACACACACAACTCTTCAGAGCCTGTGACCATCACATATGTGACAAAATGATTTTATTCATCCTTAAGCCAAGGGACTCACCACTTTAATACCTCAAATTTGTCCTACCTTTCTACTTTTATCTGGTTTATTCATTTTTCACTTCTTATTTCATTTGCATACCTTCCATTAGATCATCCAACTTAGCATACATTTTTATTAAATAAAGTACACTGAGATTCAAAAGATCAAAAAGCTAAGGTTTTACAACTGACTGAGGTGTATATGTTCAATAAAGCCTGACTTTTCTGGTTATTTTTTAAGGTACTGAAGTCGTGTGATATTAGAATTTTACAGTGGTTAAGGCGTTCATGTCCAATAAAGGTTGATTCCTTCTTCAAGCATTGAACAGAGACATTAAGGTTGTGATTTGTGGTTATTGAGATTTCTTTCTCCTCAAGCTACAAGGCTATTACTTTCATATCAACAGCAGGTCGCATGGTTTTCCTCTTTAGAGCCATGAATCTATGGTTTATATCCTATTATACTCGGGTTTGTCAATATTTTTACTGGATGTTTGATGGATAGAAAGACATGATAAAAGGAGGGTGTTGTGAATTTGTTGTGATCAAGGGTATTATTGTTCTCAATTGTTTGATTGCTTGTATTACAAGTTAGCTTGGATGTGAGAATTGAAATTAAGATTTCTTCAAGACATGGTACTTTGTGAGGTCATTGGTTACCAAGTCAAAGGTTTATGGATTGAATTGCAAAATATTGAATCATGACTTAAAGGATAATTTTGTGGGTTCATTGTTATACTTGTTGCTCACGAGGCAAACAGATGCCAATTGAATGATTTTGTTAATTGAAGATTGGTTTAGAGGTTTTCATCTGAGTTCACCATATTGCATTCTAAGTTCAAATCATAATTCCATTCACACATTAAAAATAATCCAAAACCATTTCAATCTACCATTCAAAAACCATATTTCCATTACAAAGCCAGTTCAGATACACCATTGTTACTTTAACCAATTCATACAAAATGCATTCAAACAAAATTCCTAAATTCTAATCTTAAATTCTATCTTTGTCTTCCAACTATTCTTCATGCTTCTTTGCCAAAAATTTGTCCAAACTTCATGCTTCTAATGGTCATTACATCAACATAAGTCATACTTAGACTTGTTGCACATTAATCTTGCAGATCTGCTCGCCAAACCATTAATTTAACATGCATTCTGTTGTACTCCAAAATTTTCCCTCTCATTTTATCAAGATTTCCCCTCACAAGACTCTTTGAA